ATTATTATTATTATACTCACTTTATCTTGCCCAGGGCAACCAAACAAAAATACAATAAACCCCTTATAAATATATTAAAAACAAGAGGAAAAAGAAATACATTAAAAGCATCCTACCTACATAGAAGGCCACTTCTATGAGTTCATGTTTGCTCATAGGTGCTACACTGGCTTGAAAAACAAGAAAGGATTTGTTGTCTTCTACCCATTTTTCCAATCCACTTGTGGAGAACACAGCGCAAAGCCAATTAACTCTCTGTGTTACCTAAACCAGGCACTCAGCTACTGTTATTTTTCTTTACCTAACTTTTGGAATGTAATGGATTTTCAATGCCTATCCCCTGCCCCACATTTGTCTGTAGGAAAATGAATACAGTTGTACTTATTTATTGCCCTTTCCTTCAGTTGTTTTCTCCATTTTTGCATTACAATTATACAGCAATGCTTTCCAGGAGATCAGCTCTGCATGCTGCCTTTGCTTCTGTTTTTGTATCAACATCTCTTATTTCTGCAGCTAGCAGAGCAGCTTTCAGAGGCAAGGCACCCTCTACATCTCTCTCCCCTCAGCTTGCTTCTTTCTCCCTCCCTCCTCCTTTGTACTTAACCAAACCTCAGGGGGCTGCTTCTCCCTGGGGAGGCAGACATTCTGTTCCTCTCTCCACCGTGCATAAACATCCTCTTCCTCATGCATGCAGTTCTACACTTTAAAGCAGGGGTGCGCAACTCAAATCACTATGAGTGCCATCTTCAGATTTTTATTACCTCAGGAGGTCCATGTAGCTACATTAACTGCAGGAGGTGATTTCTGTTACCATTTTAACTTGTTGCTTTCTTTTCAACAGTCATTTGTCAAGCTTCCTTTTTCATTCTTCACTTGCATAGATTAACCACCTATAGCACATATCATGTCCTCTTTCTTTAAAACTACTGAACACCTGCATTCTGTTAAACCTCTTTTTCATTTCCTCTTTCACCTCCAGTTCATTTTCTTAGCCACCCCCTTTCCTCTCTACACCCCACAGTGCTCTCTCGCTTACCTCCACATCACAGGTCCCCCAGGACCACACCAAGTTCCTTCCTTCAACATCTCCCTCCTTTAATTCGACAACCCACATTATTGCTACTCTTACTTGTGGAATTTGCCAGCAACAACACAAACAGCTTTAACTCTTCCTGCAACTAAAAGGTTGGGAGAGGCTGACCATGCAGTATGCCAGAGTAGCAGCAACAGGTTGAAAAAAAAATTGGCTCTGTCAGCTAAACTGGCCTTCTTGAACAAAACGCTGGGGGGCCAGGCCCATCTTGCCCTGCCCTGCCCCCCACTACCTTGCCTTGCCACCTGCTGCTGCCTTCTTATTGTGCTGCACTACTTCTCAGCCAGGGGTCACGTCGGCGCATGCCCAGTTCTGTGCAGTGAGTAGAGGCGGTTGGTGGTGGTGGTGGCTGCCTTCCTCTCTCCCTCCTTCCCTCGGTCAGCTGCCTTCCCCCAACCATGCTCCCACCTCTCCAATGCGTGCTGCTTCCCGCTGGCCAGGTGTGCTCATCAATGCTCAGGCTGTAGTAGTTTGGGGGATGTCCCCCAAAGGGGCCACTGTCCCTGCCATTGGAGGACGCCATCTCCACTGGCTCACCTGCCTGGTCATGCTCTCCTGCAGGGCTGCTCAATACCAAGCCACAGGTATGGAGCAAGCCACAGGTATGGAGCAAACGAGTGAGCAGGAGAAAGAGGGATGTGGAACCAGGACATGCACATGCCGTAAACTTGCCTATGCCCATGGCTACTGCTGCATCCCTCTTGTTCCTCCTGGAGACAAGCCAGAAACAGAGGCAGCAAACTGAGGGAAGGAGAGAGGGAGGTGGAAAGGCAGGCAGACGGGGGGAAATATTAAGGGGACTGGGCCCCCATAAGAAAATTACCAGGCAGGGCGGGGAGGCCTAAGGGACACCAGCCGCTTAAAAATTTGGCACATATGTGCTGTACTGTCATTTCAATTCATGCATTGAATTCTGCTGCACCATTGGATGTGAATGTGGGTTCCACAAAATTTGGCACAAGGATCCTGATCTTAATGATACAGTTAAAAGTACAGACTCTTCCTCCAACAGAGCTTACAGCTATTAATTCATTTTTCCAAAATGAAAAGACAAATGGAAGTATTAATGTTTCATTATACTGATTCCCCCCCCCACACACACTGCACTGAAAACTGAAATTTACAGAGAGATTATTATAATAGACCCAACAAAGCCCTAACACTGTATATTGAGATTTGCTTCAAGATCTTCACCATGCTGTCTAGAATCCAGGAATCCCAGTGGAGGATCAAAGGCTGAGCATACGTATGTCAGATAAGGATTTGAAGATATTAATTCTTCATTCCAAAATAGATATTGTAAAGCCTTATGAAATGTCATAGGATACAGCACCGTAGCTCATTGTAAAAGTCACAGGCAGCCATAATACCTAATTTTAACTCCCAAATGTTGAAATTGTGTATTTTCATTTTTTGTTATAAACATACCTTTAGAAGTAATGCAGAGGGAAGGGGGAGGAAGGTCAGTCCATAATTGGGAAAATATTTCTTGCTTATAAATGCCCAGGCACAAACACAAAAATGGATTTCTGAGTTGCCAGCAATATTTACATTAGCCTGAACAGCCAAGATGAAGACACTAACATATCTACAGGCTTCTGCAAACATAGCTGCAAACGTAAATTTAATTCTGGTGACCTTTTGAGCCAAGTGGGGTAACTGAGCCATTTTGTACTCCACTTCTAATTCACCCCTTTGGTTGGGATGGAGAGAAATTCATTTTGGTTACCTAATTTGCAGTTCTCAAAACAATATGTGTAGCAAAATACTTCTCCTAACTTTCCAACACAGTTTGGCAACCATGAAGGTGATATATAAAAATGCATAGTTTAGGAGCAAGTGTGCATAAACATGTACCCTTTTCTTAGTTAAAATAACCACTAGAATGAAACCACTGTCTCCAGATGAAAGATCCCCATCGTTGTGCTTCTGTGAACACTTATGTTAAGATATGTGTGCACATGTAAATTAAGCACGAGTCAATCTGCTAACAACTTGCTATTTCAGTTGTGTATGCTTGGATTAGGCCCACTGTGCTGAGACCATGGGCATTACAGTTTTGTGAGCGATGAATGAATTTCTGTTACTCATTTGTTGTACACACAGTCTTCATGTAATCTGTCACCTTTGCATTTCCCTTGCTGAGGGACATGTTAATTCCTGAGAACTGAAAGCACAACACTTAAAGCTGTTAACACCACACCTGTGTTGCTGTTGTGCTTTCTTCCTGGAGTGCTAGGTGAGCGTTCCAAATAGGTGGGCTCTCTTGTGATAAGCAGCACAAGTTCGTGATAAGCAGCACAGATATCTCCGCATATGACTGGCTACTCCCATGTCTCATAATACGCTTTTGATTTTACCAACCAACAATTTTAATAACCCCATTTTATTACACAATATTATTTTGATCCGTGGTTGCGGGGCCCCTAGAAAGCATGGGGCCCATAGGCCAGTGGCTACTCTGCCTACTTGGTAATCCGGCACTGTCAAACAACTCAATTTTTTTATGAATAAACATTTTAAAATAGTAAGCTGTTAAAAGATGGATTGTGGAGAAGATGGGAAGGACTATTGTGTGCATCCTGTTATAGTAACAGAACAATAGCCAGAATGAGATACTTTCTAAAATTAAATGATCTTTGGTCTCACAGCCAAAACATCGTATCTGCATTGAAATGGGAAATGATCACCAGTGCTTTTATAGTAAATAAGCTAAAGAGTAGTCTCCTTGATTTCATCAGAGATGTTAACCAGAGGCAATTGCTCTCCTTGTGGTCTAATTTATTGTGGCTTTGTTGAAGAATGAATAAAATAATTATTGGCATGGAAAAATCATAAAATTCTAATACCTTTAAGTAGGGCTACAAGTTGTTGTTGGTTTAATCAGTGCATTAATAAAAAAATCTGCACTTTTATCACTGAGGATCAATTTTAATACGTGGGAACTGTGGGTTAAGAGCACATTTCTTTAATTTGTTTGAGGTTCATTTTGTTCTGATGTGCTACTATAATAGGGAAAGAATAAAAATGGAAGATGGTTTTTAACAAGGAGTGGTATTTTTGTTAAAGAAGAAAATTTTAAGTACGGTAATCTTTCATTGCCTTCAGTGCTTCAAAAAAAATGTATTGAGAGATTTTGATAATAACCACATTTATATAAATGTAATTAATTGACTGAAAAGACTGGATTGTGGGATTTGTTTCGCAGGGTCAGCAAGGTGAGGGTATATTTGGAATTTCCTGGTGTACTTGCTACCTTTCATGATTCCCTTCCAAGCAGGGATGGATGGCTCAATCTATTTCTCATTCATGTCAATTTTGCACGTGCTTATTCATAAGTCCATTTCATACTGTTTCCTCATTAAATGGCAACGATTTAAAAACAAAATCTGTACCAAGGGTCAGAATCAACTTATGAGTCCTGCTAGTAGAATGGCCTTCTGCTAGTGCTGGGGGGGGAGGCTTTCTGCCCTCTCTCCTCCCCCGGTGTTTTATTTGTTTATGGAATTTATATACCGCCCTATACCCAGGGGGTCTCAGGGCAGTTCATAGTGTTCTCCCTGGGGGTTCAAAATTGGCTTGGAGGATGGAGAATTGGGGAAACCCATAGAACAGTGGGGGGGGGGGGAGAGGAGAGATTGTTCCACCTGGCAAGCTGAAATGGACGGACCAAAACAAATGAAATGTCAGTGAGGCATTCAAGAGCACACCAAAATGGAAGTGGTTTCCACAAATAGCAAAAGTGAAACTCAAAATGTTGTGCCTTAGATCTTCTCCCTTCTTTCTAAGCTTTATATTGCCTATTGCACTGATGTTTCAGGAAATATTGAACAGTAACATTTTAACCATTGGTACTTTCCAGGGTTTGACTCTATAAGATGTTTAGACAATGAACACATTTCATTACCCTATAAGCTGATCCTTGCTTTGTTCCACAAGAGTAGGAGGGACATTGGAGACAATGACTTGCATGTCCAACTGGTTGACTACAGAGACCTGGAAACAGAAAAGAAAGATACACTTGAGCTTGCAAAACATACATTATCTCAGAATGAGAACAGGAGCAAGGTGAGATTCTCCACCTGCACCTGTAAGGACCATTGATATGGAGCAGGGATGCAGAAACACTGAGAGGAAATGTATCACTAAAGAAAAAGCTCAGAAGAAACAGAATTGGGGGGGGGGAATACATATGCTAATTAATACATATAGCTTCAGATTTAGTTACCATAATGTGAATAGAAATACAATACACCTCTCACCACAGTGGGAAAGACTGTTGACTGGGCAAGGTCGCTTTCAACAAAACGTGGACTGTCATTTATAAAGAAGGGCACATGGCCATCCTATTTGCAACACTGTGCCCACTTACAGTGGTACCTCATGTTACGTACCATCCCCCTTACGAATGCTGCAGGTTGCGCGCTCCGCTAACCCGGAAGTAGATGCCCCTTGTTGCAACCTTTGCCCCAGAATGTGAGCGGAAGTTGCACTCCAGCGGCGCAGCAGCAGCGGGAGGCACCATTAGAGAAAGCATGCCTCATGTTACGAGCGGTTTCCGGTTACGAACGGACCTCTGGAACGGATTAAGTACATAAAACGAGGTACCAGCGTATATGGAAATTAAGTCTCCAAATTGCACCTGAGAAGCTGACTGGGTAACACGTAAAGGTTCTGAAGCACAAAGGTATCAAATATAGTGCTTTTTTCTTTCTTTTTGGAGACAAAACTAGTAACTGTCTCCCCTCGAGCTCTATTTCTCAGAACAGCAAAGGCAACCTGTTAACAGCAAGGCAAACAGTGATAGGAAATCTCAGCTCATATTTTGTCCCCTATATGTGAGACAAAGCAAGCATAGTGAGAGTTTAGCCACATGTACACTGAAAAAGCGATCAAGCTGTGTGTAGTTTTTTCTTTCCTTATCAAAAGTGGTACAGCGTCGGTTTCAAAGATGACAGGAGGGAAGGAAAACAGCTTGAATGATTTTTTCAAATGGACAAGCAGAGAAAACTCCAAGCAAGCAGGGCAAACTTCTCTCTTCCTCTATCACACAGAGCCTTGTTTTTCTCTGCTGGCCTGTATGTGAAAGGGAAGCAATCAAGTTGCTGAACTGAGAAAAGAAATATGAGAGAATTCTCTCCTCTAGTGTTCGCAAACTAGCCAGGGCAGTTAAGGGTAAACAGTATTAATGGCACAGCAGACAAATCATAAAGGGCCTACAGTACTACCAACAAATGTCCATTCAGTGATAAATCAATCAGTTTTGCATACAAATATAGTGTAAAGCATATAATCTACAATACAGGAAGTTCCATCTCTCAGTCATGGTTATGTACATAAGCATGTAAAGGGTAGAAACAATGTGTTTGCAAACATACATACCATACATGTGCACAATCTAGGGAACTATAAACTTTCAGGCATTCAAAATAAAGTCAGTGGCTCAGCTGTGATGGGGATGCAGGGGCAATGAACTTTAGCTGAATTCAGTAAAAATCCCTCCTTGGATAAGGAACCTGCAGTGTTTCTGAATGTGGGGAGGATTCTAACCTTCAAAGTGATGGGGTTAGAATTCCCATTCAGAGCTTCATGGTAAATGCACTGGGAGAAGGCTGGGAGAAGAACTGTCGAGAATGTTCTAGCTCTGGATTTCCTACGCTGAGCTGCTGATTGGCTAACAAGGCCCCTTCAAACTCTATGATTCGACACAGAGAGTTGCTCTTCAGGATTTCAGGCATATGTCTTTACAGCCCTACTTGGAGATGCTGGGGATCAAACCTGGAATCTTCTGCATTCTAATCATGAGTTTTACCACTCAGCTATGGCCCTTCTGCTTGAAAATCAGTTGCTTCCCATTCTGCACACTGAGAGAACTTCATAAGTACCACATAAGTACCACATACCTGGCACAAGAGTTTGATAAAAAGGTAATACTACAAATGATATGCAGAGGTGCTAGATAATTACATGCAGATACATGTGCAAATCATCCGAATGCTATTAAACTCAAATGCAAACTTCAGTGTAATCTACTAAATGAAACTCTAAAGCAGTTAAGTGTTGGTGTATTAGTCATTCTCAACATGCAGTGTTTTAAAAAGGACAACTCTAGTTTGTTTGTTTTTAAGAGATGGTAATATCTGTATATCTGAGATGGTTTTCCCAGTAGTGATGTATGGAAGTGAGAGCTGGACCATAAAGAAGGCTGATCGCCGAAGAATTGATGCTTTTGAATTATGGTGCTGGAGGAGACTCTTGAGAGTCCCATGGACTGCAAGAAGATCAAACACATCCATTCTTAAGGAAATCAGACCTGAGTGCTCACTGGAAGGACAGATCGTGAAGTTGAGGCTCCAATACTTTGGCCACCTCATGAGAAGAGAAGACTCCCTGGAAAAGACCCTGATGTTGGGAAAGATGGAGGGCACTAGGAGAAGGGGACGACAGAGGATGAGATGGTTGGATAGTGTTCTCGAAGCTACAAACATGAGCCTGACCAAACTGCGGGAGGCAGTGGAAGACAGGAGTGCCTGGCGTGCTCTGGTCCATGGGGTCACGAAGAGTCGGACACGACTAAACGACTAAACAACAACAACAACAAATATCTAAGTCTTTATAGATTTAAGAATACAACCTTTCCATTCAGTGGCCAGGTACCCCTCCACTGAGATAGTGCAATAATGGAAACCATAGTAGTGGCTTTGGTAATCAGAAGTAGTATCATCTACTGTATTGCAGAATAAATCCTAAAGACATTTCTTAACACTGGATGACCGTGCCTTCTATTTCAATTTGTTCTTTAAAGCAAATAATAAACACTTGCGCTCTACATACTCCCATTTGCACCAGCAGGTTTGTAATAAGGAATAAATGCTGCTTAGATCTGCAAAATTGAAGGAACAGGGGTCCACAAGGTCTGATTATTTATGGTTGCCACTGTTAGGAATTTCATTCCTCCATGCTGCAGATGTGTGATTGTTGTTGTCACACGTCTGTGTTTACATTCCACAGTGTTGGATGTCATGGGGAACGGAAGTTCAGATACACTGTTCTGTTCTGTATTGCTTTTGTTTTTTCCCTTCTCTCCATGGAAGAAAGAGAGAGGGGAGCCATGTTTTCTTTGTTCTGTTATGTTTGATTTTGTACATAATAAATTAGGCTTAGATGTCACACCTCAAGGCTCAGCTTCTGTTTGGACTCTGCTAGTGTTGTGTACTCATGTCCTTGGATATGGGTCACATCAGCACGATGGGACACAAGAGTGATGAATCATCCTGGACGGCGCTGCACTGGGGGAGAGGTGATGGTCTTGGTGTTTCCCAACAGCCACTTCACCTTTCCCTATTCCTGAATAGGGATGCAGAAAGCTTGGTGTGGGAGGAAGCTGGTTATCTCATGTTCTTTGGCAGAAGTGGAAGCTTTGGAGAAAACAAGAGGAGCTTCTGCCTGCCAGAAAGCCCAAGTGATATGAGATTATTTGATGCAAAATAGTTCTGAACTAAATAGCAGGGGCTACGCTCCCCTTCTCCTTGAGTGCTTCCTCTGAGTGCTGCAATTTGAGTCTGACCAACATAGTACTTTGTGCCACCAACTTCATCCTTGGACACGTCTCAAACAGTGAAATATCAGATTCAAAATCTCAAGGCTGGATCCAGCTTGCCAGTGAGTGGAATGAAGATGAGTGAAATGACATCTTTGCATGACTCAGTTGCTCCCTTTTGCCATGGCTGGATGCACAATGAAACTACCACAAAGCAGTGACCTTCACACTCTATGATTCTTGCTTCTGCTCTAACCCCTTGTGGGTAATGTTGGCGAGTGGTCTTTGAAAGTTGAAAGAAGTGACTGGGCACACGTTTCCTCTGCGCTTGAGGACAGAGACCCTACTAGACTGCCCAAGACTTCTCAATGCTTTACAGAGAATTGGGGAAACAGGGAGAGGAAGGCCTCAGGTCAAGTGTTTTCAAAGTTGAATGCAATCCTCCACAACTCGCAAACAAACTTTGGACAGGGAACTATTACGCTGGTGGGTGCTGTACACAAGATTCGTTAGGGCACTAGTCTTTGGCAACCTGATAAGCAGATTTGTGGAAGTCAGTCCCCTTCAGTCCCAGGCAGGCAACAGGAACAGGAGATTTAAAGACCCACTGATGGGCTACTCAGGAAGGCCTGACAACACTAGCTGTTGTATCCTCATCATATGAAATCAGAATAACAAAAAAAACTACAAGGAGGGTGAATGCCTGTAGCACAATGTCGTCTATAATAAACTTTGCAGCAAGAATAAGCCCCCGAATGCATACTTACAAGTACATCTGATTTATTGCTCAGCCCCTTTCCATAGTTGTCTGTAGCAATGACCTGAAACTTGAAATACGATCGCCGCATGTTTTTGAAGAGCATAGCAGTTTTGATCAGCCCCGTATAAGGTTCGATCACAAAACCTTCCTTGCCATCCTTGATTGGAGGGATGATGAGTCTGTACTGCATAGCACTGTAGTTGCCCGTATCTTTATCATTTGCCTGATAGGTTCAAAAAAGAAGGGGGAGAAAAAGGCAGAGAAATTACTGAGACAATCATGTATACTGAGAAGCACTCGCTGCGGCCTCTGTAATCAATACAGAAACTAATCTCATGGGCATTATGATAATCAGTTTGACTGCTTTCTGCATTTGTAATATCAGAAATTAATTTTTAGTAGCTTCATGGCTTCAAGAGAAACTTAGGCTAGGGGTGGAGAACCTGTTTCAGCCCAAGAGCTGCATTCCCTTGTGGACAACCTTCTGGAGAATGCTCTTCAGTGGTGGTTGGGGCCAGAGGGAAAAGTGGACAGAACAATGGATGTGAGTAGTAGGCTATATTTCAAGCACACAAACACACACTTCATCCTCCATGCAGGCAAGGAAAAGGCATCATCACACTTCTAAGGCCTGAGGTTCCCCAACTCTCATTCAGACTCACAAAAGCAGCATTCAGGATGTGGGGGAAAGCAGAATAATTTTTGGGCCATCTTCAATGAACTCAGGGTAGAGTCATTGAAATTAACGGCCCTGATTAATTTCGGTCCATTCCTTTCAATGGGTCTGCTTCATATTCAGTGGGGTATTTTGTTCAGTGCACTTAAATCCCTCCCATTTAAATTAATAGGATATAAAGGGTTTTGGCTAGAGCATCCGTTTGACTCGCACAGATTTTTAAAGAAAAGTTATGGTACACCACTATTAAGGAAACAAACAGGTTTGATGTTGTTATTGCATACACTATCATTATGAGGGGGAAATGAATGGTGTATTAATGTTAGCAAGCTAGAAGATGATGATGATGATGATGATTACCCCACTTTTCCCCTGACGGGACCCAAGGCAGCTTACAGATAAAAACAAGAACCACGAAAAACACGGGGGGGGGGATTATGTGAAAATAATTAAACACTGACACAATTAAAACCATATACAGATATAAAATCTGTTCGAAACATTTGTTTCAAAATTGTTTAAAAGATTGACATGAAGACTACTGTCCACTATAGTAAAAGAAATATTGAACACAAATAAATAATCAATTTATTAAAAAATTATCATGTGTCTTGTCTGCAATTTGTTTTTCTCATGTGTTTTCTAATACATCTTTAAACGTTAGTAAAAATAAATAAATAATGTTTATCTGTTTCGGGACCACCAGAGCAACCCTAAGCTCAGCGAATGACATAACAAGCACAAGTCCTTTTTAACACAAGGGAAGGGAGCTTGTTATTCCTGTAATTTGTCCTGAAGGTAAATATTTTTGTCACTTCATTAAGGGAAGATATGACACCTCGAGGGAAGTGATATGCCTGTCAGAAAAGAGAAAGGACTACAGTTGATCTTAATAGCATTATATATTTTCTTTTGTTTATGTGGCAGACATAAATACGCAGATGTTTTCACAATTCTTTTATGAATGAATGTTGAGAAATATTATATGTCCTCTGTGTCAGACTTCACCTCAACTGTCAAAATAAGGAGCGGCATTATCTTTCGGGTGCAAATTTGTAGCTAAACTGAGGCATGTTTTAAAGCTGCTTAAAAATACCAAATCGTTCTAAAGCTTCATCATAGGCTTCTTGTTCACATCTATGAAGGGAAATGTTTGGGTGAGAAGGGGGTGGGGGTGGGAAAGACGCCTCTTGTCATGGAACACCCTCCTGAATTGATTCCCCTCCCCCTATAATGGGGAGGAGACATGTCTCCTTTCTCTGCCCCACTGCCAGCTGTATGTTTACTTGTTGTTGTTTTTTAAAAAAACCTTAATTAAGCATTAGCCCCATCACCAAATTAATGTAGAACTGTATCTGTGGAGGGCTGGGCGGTCCTTGGGTTGTCCCAGGGAGGACTAGCCTGATTGAAGACCATTGGATTATAGCCATAGGGTGGCTCAGGGGTACTGTGTACAGCCCATGGTCTCTCATTGGGTGAATGAGCTCTGGTAAGCCTCCTCTCTCCTCTTCCTTTGTAGTTGAGAAGAATAAACCAGAAGCTTCCACTTCTAATCTCAAACAAACAATATTTCTCCGCTATATCTAAACTTGGGGAACTGTGGTTTGTTTGAACTCTAGCTAGCAAGAACAAACCGGTATCAAATCAGGATTTCAGATTCTGATTTGTACACTAACTAGAATTTAAATCAGCTTTCGCTAACCTGGGATCTTCCTGAGATTTGGACTACAAGGACCATCAGTCCCTAGCATATAAGTTGAAGGAAAATCTCCTCCCAGATCAGCCTGCCACATAACAAATAATCATTTTACCAATGACCTTTTTGAAGCACCACCTCTATCACAGGTGACATTTCTTATGACAAAGGAGATGGCTTTTTCAGTAGTGACACCCCAGGTCGGAACTCCCTCCTCCCAAGGTATGCCTTCCATCAACCTTTAGTGTCCAGCTGCTTAAAAAAACACACCATCCAGACATTTTAAAGCATGTTTGATAACTTTCCAGCCTCCGCATCATTCAATAAACTGCTTGCAAAACTTGGATGAACTTCAGGAACAGCCTTTGACACAGCGTGAAGAGTTTCAAACGGGGGGGGGGTGCCCATTTACCACATGTGCAGAAGTGCTGACAAATGGCCTAATGGGACATTCTGGATTGCAGCCACTGTCGTTAGATTAACTCAATTCATCGGCAATTATCTCTTGAAGATGTGGCATCTTTAACCAAGTGTTCCAAATAATGAAAACCGATCTACTAACACTGTTTGCATAGACATGCAATCAATCAGGATCTAATCACCGAATTGTCAAGATGAAAGAGAAGTGGCAGTGGACCGAAGCATAGATGGAATGTGCTTCTGTTTCTGCTGTTTTTTGCCCTGCGATGCATCTTCCAAAATACAGAATGTTGTAAAACTAATCCATATGTGCAACCAGGCTGTGTGGGTTGTCAACTGAAACAAACAATGCCATGTGTAGGCTAACAAAGGGGGGCTAGTGCTGATGAAATGATCCCCATCTTTTTTTATTGGTTAATTTCAAATCCTGGTAAGTATTAGGCATGGCTAAGGTGGGAACTGATATCCAAAGTTTTCAGTGGCAAGGGAGAGGGTGAGGTGAATTTATGTCAGAAAGGGAAGATGCCAGAGGAGAGGAGCTTGTGATCCTGTGGCCCACTTCTTCAGCCATGCTTAGGAATTGGGAAGGTTACATAGGTATTGGCTTGGTTTGTGTTTAAAAATGTCAACGTCACATAGCCATATGACCCCTCTCCCCAACTACAGACAAGCGTCTGATAAAAGTGAAGCTAGCAATGCTAGCCTTTGTATAAGGGAAAGACTAAGGTATATTAAACAGCATTGCTGGGAGAGGGGCCAATTGCCCACAAAACACTAGATTAGGAAAGAATCATCAACCACAAAACAGTAAATGCTGCCCTTGTCAGAAAAACAAAGCAGCTATACTTCTGAAATTTGGCAGGCTTCATCTTACAAGGAAGGGCTACTATGCCTACAAATTTTATGCAATTCTTCTGGGAGGGGGAAGTTATAGACATTTCATTTAAAAACACACACAACAACTTCCAAGGTATCTACTGCAATACCCCTGGACTTATTTGGCAGGCCTAATCTTTTCCTGAGGGGCTAGTATGCCTGCAACTTCCATCTACTTCTACCAAAAGGGAGTTAAAGTTATAGCTTTTTAAAGATGTCCCAATAGTAAATTGCAGTGGGTGAGGAGGGGAGACAAAGCCTTGTTTGTTTGCTTGCTTTGCCAAAGTAGATCAGGACTTAGACTCCAAGTTGAACTGGGCAACCTCCCAAGTGCTTTGGACTGTTTTCTGATGTGCCAAATTGGGGTCTGAACTGAATCTTATAGTTCTAGGAAGTCCAACAGTTTGATCACGATCTACAGGTCGATCTTGGGGGGGGGGGTCCTTGGTTGATCACGGTCGACCGCGGGATCCTGACCCCTTCCCCCCTCCCAAAAAAGCTAGTTCACTGCCAGTTTCTTTATGGTGGGAGTAGATCGCAGTCTCTTGAACGTTGGACATGCACACCCCTAATATAAATGCACATAAAACATTATATGTGGAACTGCCTCTATGTACTTGGGCTTTAAGCCACTGATGTTTTAGGGCCCCATTACCCAATCCTACATGGCCAGAAACCTTTATGTGGCTGCCTGAATCATGTCTCAGTGAAGCAAACATCCAAGAACACAAAGTACGTCTCCAATACTACTCTTATTTTCAACCTGCAAATACAGCAGGTTCCCATGTTCTCTTTATAATGCAGGGTTGGGAGAAACCTAATCTCAGCAGAGTTGAAACAAGGAGAGCATGTGGAACTCAGAATTTGAAAGTAGTAAATACCATCCAGACACTTATTGTAAAATACATATACTGTATTAGCATGGAAACTCTTACAAGGATGTGTTTAGTTTTTGCTCTTGGAGGGCATACACTTGTAGATGAGTCATCCTTGTGGATCAATAAAAGGTAAAGGTAAAGGTACCCCTGCCCGTACGGGCCAGTCTTGACAGACTCTAGGGTTGTGCGCCCATCTCACTCAAGAGGCCGGGGGCCAGCGCTGTCCGGAGACGCTTCCGGGTCATGTGGCCAGCATGACAAGCTACATCTGGCGAGCCAGCGCAGCACACGGAAACGCCGTTTACCTTCCCGCCAGTAAGCGGTCCCTATTTATCTACTTGCACCCGGGGGTGCTTTCGAACTGCTAGGTTGGCAGGCGCTGGGACTGAACAACGGGAGCGCACCCTGCCGTGGGGATTCGAACCGCCGACCTTTCGATTGGCAAGCCCTAGGCGCTGAGGCTTTTACCCACAGCGCCACCCGCGTCCCGGTTTGTGGATCAATAAGATTACTCAAAAGAAGAAGAAGTTATCGGGAATTTATAGCCGGAAAACCACCTATCAGGACAACCAAGATAGTCACAATACAAGGATGGAAACAAGTGGTATTTTAACTGGGGTCAAAGCAAGGCAAAAAGAAGAGTATAAAGAACATCTAAATGTGGGAACAAATTTACT